CAACCACTGCAGATTTTCAGGCAAAGTTTTTGATTTAAGTAAATGGAACCGGATCTTGACTTTATAAACACTATGTTTCCTCAAATCTTCCTTATTAATACATATTCTTGTTTTACTCTGTAATAGTTTCATCAAATTAGTTGTATATGTGTTGCCCCACACCTCGTACAGTAACAATATGTGTGTAAGTTTGACCGAGACACATGGTAGTTTTCCAACTGTTAAAGACCGGGGGTTATTTGGGGGACCAGGATGGTAAGTGGGGGAGTCTAATAAGGAGTTGGGAGGGGAGGGGTTACTAATTTCCTCCTTCCGTTTCCTAGGGGCAGGTGCAGGACAAACCCCCATTCCCCATGCACCCACCATACACACACAAATTCTTCACTGTCATATGGCGGAAGCTGTGCCTAAATGACAACACACGCACTCACAGTCCCAGATGGACACTCGCACATTTTTTTTTCACAGTTGAGTATGTAATCATATACACTCCCGACACACATTCACATGCATATAAATATCGATGTATGTGTGTGTCATTTACTCTCACCACACACACACACACACACACATACACACAGGGTGGTTGGGAGTGTGGTATATGGTGCTGATGTTCTCGAAGTGTGAGTCAGATGTATTACACGGCATGTCATTACAGCTTTCCACTCTAGTTGGCCCCTGTGGTTCACAACACACCCTGCACTGCTGCTCTATATAGACCTCAGAGGGACAGAGGAGCGTCTACATCTGTCTCTCTGCCTGTCTCCTGCTAAACAAGGCTCATCTTTTTCAACACAGGAACTCAGTTTTATTTCTATGTTGCCCCTCCTTTTTCTTTACACAGTCTCCATTTTCTGTTGTGATTTATTTACTTTTTTTTTTGCAGATCATAGTTCATAGTTTAAACAGCAAATGGAAAAAGGAAAGGTCTATAACATTTCGGCTATATCCCAAAAGGTCTATACACTTTCTCAAAAAACAAAAATCACATGATAATTTGATAGGGCTGGAAATCCAGTTGCTGGTGAATAATGATGTAAAGAAATGGTTGAGATTCATTGCAAAACAGATTAAAATCGGCATGGCGCTTTTTGAAATGTTATCTGTAAATTGCCTCTTCCCAGAATTGTCATACCTTCTGTCACTCCCATTTTTGTGTCATTTAATAATAACATTTAGAAAAATAACAAACCTACCAAGTACCTCATTCATTCTTGAAAGATATTCCATTTTCCTTTTTTGGCATTCATTCAAACCTATTTGTTTGTTTTAAGCATAGCTCATGGAAACATCTCATTTGCATTTTTTATTAAATCTTTTGTGACATTTCAGAAGTGTGCGTAAAGCTCGCTTGACAGTTGAATGAAAACACAGCTACTGTCTGCATGTGTATCGTTGTCATAAGCTCTTTTCAAGCTAGATTAGCGGTACTGGCGGCGCTCCTTTAATTGTCATTACCAGCTGTTTTATTCCGGCAGGAATCTGCCATGTTTGGCATGTTTTTTGTATGTCAAAGCAACAGCTCTGGAGGAAATTTCCACCCTGTCCTCGGAAAACTGTGACTTACTTGTGATGTTTTGAGTGGCAGATTGACATGTATGCCAATACTTAGAGGAAACTGAAATGCATCTTTCATTCTTTCTCCTCAGTTGCTTTCTTTTTTAAAGGTTTTAAGATTTATGTTTCTTCTATGTTTGTATTTCTTTCTCCTGCTCACGCTTCCTCTCTTTCCCATATTCACATGGGGAATAGCACATAAACTTACTGATGAAGTTATGTAAGTTAACAAGTAAACAAGAGACCTCATTCTGACACTTAGAATATACAAATACCATGCACTCTTCCTCCTGCTCTCTTACTCAGTGAGGCGCACGCACACTAGAAATGTTTTTATTTGGATCTGCTAAATTAAATCCTACTTCATTTAAAATTCAAAACTTGTGGACATGTCAGCATGGTATTAGGACATTTCAGGTTAGCAGAGGCCCAAAGAAACACACACAGATACAAGCATTCACTTGACTGCATCTCCCAACCAGGCTAAAGCCAGCTGTGTGACCTAGGGATGAGGAACTCCCTGTGGGTCACTGAGGCCCGTGGACCCCCCTAATCCCCCAGCTGCTTGACCGGACACACACACAAATGCATACACTCCTTTTGGTTGCAGGCAGTCATGCTACTAACCACAATATCTCAGAACTGATTGCTTTTATACAATGTTGTAACAATAATATAATACATATATAAAATAATAATAATAACACACAAACTTAAGATGCTCATTTCCCCTCTGCTCCTCACATTTAAACTGTCAGACACTCACCTCCCTGAAGAATAAATACTTCCATATGAGCACATAAAAGGCCATGTCATGCCAGGGTCAAAGGTCATCCAGACCTTTGTACCATGGCACTACTGGAATTTATCCTACTTCATTTATCTCTTAGTCACTCAATGTGTTTGGTACTTTATAAACAAACTCTGATGCATTGGTCTGATTCACTTCATTTAATTTTACCATGAACATTTGTTAATTCATTGAATTAATTGTCTATCAATAATGGTATAGCCAAGTTACAGTAATGGACTTTGTTTGTCCTGCAATTTGCATCCATAAGCCTAAAATGTTCTGCACAGATACTATATTGTCAAAGGATTTCCCCACACATGAATTTAATGTTGCTCATTTGCCCTGGAGAAGGGCTGGAGATGACAAAGGACGATAAGGGGAGGTGCAAAGATAACGAGGCATTTAAATAACAGAGTGCATTAGGAGATGATGAACATATATTAAGGAGAGAGGTCACAGAGGTGATGGACAAGGAGAGGAAGATGAATAATCATGTGGAGAAGATGTGGAATTTGATGATCGCAGTGGGGGAAAAATAAGGTGAATGATGAGAGAAGAAAGGGGAAGCCGGCGGAGGTTCCTGTCTGTTTGGGTGGCCCTGAGACGGGTTGAAGACCCAGGTGTTCCCCCTCCGCTATCCCTATATCGCTTCATTCTTCTTTCTTTCCGTCTCTTTGCCTCCCCTGGTGGCCTTTAGCATTTAATCTGGATTAATGAGGAGGTTGACCTTCGTGTCTCTTTCTCTCTCTCTGTCTTTCCACTCCTAACTCACAACTCCTCACCAAGCTTTACATGCAAGAATATAACATTTTTACCAAGACTTCCTCCACATCTTACTTTCACAGGAAGTCTCTCTCTCTTTCTGCCTCTCAGATTTCTGTTGTTTTTTTATCCTAATTTTTATGCTTCCTCTTTTCACCCTTATCTCACGCCTTGGTTCTGCTGACTGACAAGGCAGTGCTGTTCATTCTTAGGACCACCTGTGTATCCTGTCTCATCGCTCTGTTTGGGTGGTCAGGCCTTCCAGCCCACAGAAAACACACTCTAGTGATATCTGGGATACACACATACAGACACACAAACATAAAGAAATCCACCTCAACACAGTCCATGAATATCCTCAAGGGAAGTTCGCTTATGCACAAGCACAGACAGACACACACACACAAGCAAGCTGTGTGCGATCTAATCTGTGGTGAGTGAGTCATTCTAATTGGCCAGTCAACAGGTGCTGAGCCCGACTCAAGGGACTGGACAGAGGAGACGCAGGGATATGATTGCAGAACAAGGGAGAGGCTAAGCTGAAAGCTTCTGTATAATAACTACAGTGGGAGCTATTGTTGAAGGGTGGGAAGTAAATGTCTGAATCTGTTTTGCTGCTCTTTGTTGCTGATTGATATAGTATAATAGCAGTTTGAACTGTGGCCAGTTATTGACAGTTTAAGCATTTCATCCAAAAAATTTTGTTTACATGCACTTGTATTATCAGGTTACTGACAGCTTTCTGCAGTTAATGGATTTTTTCAGTGTTATACATGAAACCTTGTTTCTGTAATCGGGGTAAAAATTTACCGCCGCTAGATTTAAACCGGGGAAAACAGATTTTCTTTCTTTCACATGTACGCATGTGCATGACATAGTCTTCAGACCATGTAGCCTCTGTAAGTATAAATAAGTTGTTCATATATATATATATATATGTGTGTGTGTGTGTGTGTGTGTGTGTGTGTATATGTCCCATCCACCCATCCATCGTCAACCGCTTATCCTGCGTACAGTGTTGCGGGGGTCTGGAGCCAATCCCCGCTGACTTCAGGGGAAAGCCGGGGTACACCCTAGATAGGTCGCCAGTCCATCGCAGTATATATATGTATAGAAATATATATGTGTGTGTGTGTGTGTGTGATATAGGTAACCTTGACCCTTTTGGTTCGGATGTGTCGATGAAGACCTCACTTTTAGATTTGCTTACTTGCTCTAGCTAAACTTGTGTGTCACTCAGCACTGGAAACAGCACATAAGATGGAAAACATTTGAATGGGTCTGTGAAAGGTGAGCAGCCCTCCCTTTTCTTTTCTCCTCTCTCTTTCTCTCCAGTCCCCTCTCTTTCTCAGTCTCACTTTCTCTCTGTCTCCTTCCGTCTCCCAAAGGCCCGCGTGTCGCCTTACCCAGGGGTTTAGCCCCTAATCACCCAGAGCTAGTGGGAGGGAACAAGAGACTTCCAGCTGGCTGCCTCGTTATTGCAGACCCCTGGGAGACACACACACATTCCTACACACACAAGCTAAACACACAAACACACACAGACACACACACACAACCTCATATATGCTTACCAAGGCATTTGCTGTTATCTCTTGGCATCTCTCCATCCACGTCTCCCCCACAACTCGATCCTGCCAAGGCCACAGCCTCGCCACGTAAACTGAATAACAGGAGGAGGCTTACCGCAAGGGAGGGCCAAATCTCTGGCACGTCCTCTACTCCAAACCAGTTTAAACCAGAATTAAATGTTGTCTTCCTCAATACGCTCAAGCAAATTTACTGTATATGTGTGTGTGATTGTGTGTTTGTATATTGAACTAATGGTGACACAGTCCTACAGTCACTAGTTTGTCATTTCTTACAGACAATCATCTTTCTCTTTCAGGAGGGATCCATATGATTACCCCACCCACTCCAGACCTGTGCCAAGAGAGCAAGCCCCCTACCCCGGCCATTACTATGACCCTCCTGCTTCCAGCCACCCTAGCCGTGTGCCGCCCACCCAGATGGCCACACAATCCGATCATGCGCCCGGTAACCCGCGCTACTACCCCTCGTCTCCCTATTCAGGACACCAGCGCCGTGTAGCAGCAAGGCAGGACGTTCCCCCTTCGCCCACCGTAGGCCGCAGAGGGCGGCACTACTATGAAGCTATTGGAGGGCAAGGAGACAGCTCCGAGCTCTATGACTACGGAGACGAAAGACAACCTGATCCAAGACGGAAGAAACCCATGATAGGAACAGTGTAAAGTAGAAGGTAAAGGTAGTCTTGAGTGACAGTCATACAAAGAAGATAAATAACTCCAAAATTCATGTGTTTCCAGATTTGTGAAACATAAAATAAGCTGTCACTTAGGCTGCCAATGTGAATACGTGGGATTTTTCTGTATTAATTTATCTGATCAAGAACACCTATAGCAATAAATGACAAGCTGAGAGGCTAAAATGAGACTTTATTTTCAGAACCACCGTGTCATAACTGTTTCCACAGGCCAAGACAGATTTAAGTGTTAAGGACTATGTGTACATATATATGTATGTGTGTTCACAGTTGCACACTGTATATTTTCAAGTGTGCTAGTGTAAACAGGATCTTTGACATAGATTTTATATTAAATTAGGGGCAATTAAATTAATAACATGGATATATAGAGTAAACTTATTATATGTTGGATAGAATCAACTCTGTTCCAGGAAACAGGACATGAAGGCAGTGCTGACTTGCATTTTGCACAAACTGATCAAACTGAAGGAAATAAAGAGGGATTACCTTGACCAGCCCGGCGCTATAAAAGAAGAGACACAGGAAGTTGAAGTCGACAAACAGGAAAAGGAAGCAACGCCCCTTCAAAGTATCTTCTTGTCCTTGATGTGTAGTCGCTTGGACTTCCTTTACATCCTGCTATCACACTGGTATTGTTTTAGTATTTTTGCCTTTGCTTACTTGGATGTGAACGTGGCAGGTCGATTTTACTGTACATTTGTGAAACGTATAAATGCAATGCAAATGAGTTTATTTGCGATACTTTTCTGGTGTTTCTAATAATATGTATAAATCTTGATCAACACACAAGCAACAGACTCAAACATGCTGTCAAATAAATACATCATTTTTTTTTACATATATTTTGCATTAAATATCTTGAAATTCTCTCTCTGTGCTGCACCAAATCTTTTCATCCTGTTTCTGTTTCATTTAACAGATTAGCCAGACTATGCATATTTAAAATATCCAGTCAAACTACAACAACACTATGAGTCATCACTTTAAAAATTCATTAAAATATTCAGATTAATTTCTCTGTGCATAATCTCCAGATAAATTTGCCCTGTGAGATGACTGATAAGAGTAGCCTGCTTTCTGATAATGACTAAATCATCTTCAACAATTAAAGGCAGGGAAATCTCCACTAGAAAATGATTACTGCCCAATTTGCTCTCAGAAATAAAGATGGCACTGATTGGCAAAATTAGACTTGAAATGGGGAATAATTAGAGTGAGGAGAAGGCTTTTTCTATCAGTTAGTGTTTAATTAGCGTCATGGCCAACAGGGACCGGGCCTCTGCTGATCCGTCTAGTCTCCACACTGCTTTGACCCTCTGCTGTCTGAGCTGAAATAGACCTTTCAAACCATCCAGCACAGGCAGATTCATGGGCGAGCAATCGTTTTATTTATACCAATTTTAAGCAAATGACCTCTTTTCTCAGATAGAGTCAGGGCAGACGTCAGTGATCCTAACCTACTTCAGATGAGGCACAAGCCATCTTAGTAACAATAATAAACAAATGCTCATTATGACGCATTTCTATTCAAATAGTACTTTTCTAAACAGGATTACAATGCACCACAAACCAGAATAGCTGGATAAACAATAAAGGGACAAAGCTTAGCAGCTGTCTGCTGACCATCCTGTGGTGACGGTACAGGGAAAACAGTCCAAAATGGCTTGCTAATACCTTGAACTAATCAAGCACATGCAAAGATGCAACGCCAGTGGGTCAGATTGTTAAATCAAAACATGATGAAAAGATGTAATGTCTGTTTTTTTTCTCCCTTTTGCAAGAATTGGTTACCGCCATTCTTTATTCACTGCAGTTTTGCGCTTTTTTTTTCACTCACTGTCACATCTAAGTCCCATGGCTTTACCATTACAAAAGGCAGTGCCATGTGGTGATAATTGCATGATAATAGAATTATGCGATGTTAATGCAGTTGCAAGCATGGTTCTTAATCTTTATCTTAAAAAGCTCCCTTTGTGTGCCGTTCAAAGACAATCCAGTATCTAAACCTTCAGTGTCAGCTGGTGAAAATGGTGCATTTATGGACTATTTTGTAAAACAATGAAGTCTAGAAGACAAACTGTGAGAGGGTCTTCATACACCTCTTGGAAGATTTTTTAAACCACTCCTCACAACTGCATACATTTGACCCAAAAAAATCTTAGCAAAAGCTCCACGTACTAGCTTTTTCCAGGACTTTTCCAGTCCATCTCCTTGACATCTCTGCAGCCCCTCCTACTGAAAACTTTTACTTCACTCAAGGCAAACTTTACTTTACTGTTTATGTAAAGTTTGAAGAGGGGATTATAGACAGTGTCACACTAAATCCAGTCCAGTGTAGTCATTATTTCGATTCATCAAATCTCAAAACATTCAAATTAAATCGACAGTTCTTAAATTTCACCAATAACTAGTGTGGAAATATTTCCTGTAGATCTCATGCTCTCACTGCGGGCAAACCAACTTACAGCACAAAAGCTGGCTTCACTGGCTATTCACTGTACTTTAAAGAATAACTACGGAGTTAACAACAGCCTCCTTCAAGTGCTTGTGGTCAGTTTGCTGCCAAAGACGATAAACAACAGCAACTGAGCATCCGAGAATTAATTGCATTTAATGGCCATTAAACAAAAGCTTCGAGGAGTAGTTGGCTGTTACACACATCTGACTGAAAATACTCTTTCATCCACAGCTTATATAATCAGTTACTGTGTGTGTGTGTGTCTTGTGAGTGTCTCCCTTTTGTCATCTAGAAGAGATTCTTTAGCTCAGTCACATGACACAGCAAGACTCAAACACACACACACTCGCAGTCACAGCCAGTTGATACACTGACAGACATATTTTTGTGCCTCAGCTCACACACTACCCTTCCTTAAAAAGCTATTTGTCTATTCTCTACACCCATCCTCCTTTCGTTGAACTTCCTTGGCGATTCTGCAAGGTTCTTTTTCCTGCCGTTTGAAAATTCACTTACATTTTCTTCCTCTGTTGTGAATTAATTTGACACCTCATAAGCCCACATTCTTGCTGCAGTTACTGAAAAAGGAGAGAAAATGCAGAGACACACGCTGTTCCCCAGTCGATTGTCATGAACCACAGGTTGTGGGAGAATTCCCTGGTTATGTTCTCTTAGCATTACCTATTCTGCCGGCGCCCCTGTCGAACACCTTAGCTTGTTAGCATGTGTCAATCAAAAGCCGTGCCATGGGGAGGGCAAAGTGGAGAGCTGCAGCAGTTATCTCTCTCCCACACAGCTCCCAAAAAAGACAGAGCTGGGAGAGATAGACAGAAAGCGATGGAGGATGGTGTGTACAGTATATAGAGAGTGTGTATGGGGACTAGACACCCTCGCATAGCAGAATGAAGGTACGGGTGAGCGCCCACAGTGACCTCGGGGTGCACTCGCGCCCCCTTTTCATCCTCTTCATTAAAGGCACATTCCACCGCATTTGCCCGCTGTCCTTCTGTCCTTCACCTGCCGCCATTCGTTTCAATTCAGCCCTCGTTAAGGCATCATGGTCTCGGAATCGAGAGTAGTCGGAGTGGGCCGAGCGGAGCTTCTCATTTAATTATACAGTTCATTAGAAAGCCGGCCCACCCCCAGGTCTGAGACAGGCCACGGGAATAGCTGGTGGCTAATGTGCAGTTTAAACGGCCTAAATATGGAGATTGGTCTAGTTATGGATTACCGTTACCCGTTAGCCTGCCCTTCACCCACCTCATTCGCTTTTATGTCTGCTGTGTAGCCTTTTGATACAGTATCACTCAAGTTAGAGTGTGCTCTTTCAGCCAGCCTGTTTGTTTGATATTGTTCATGAGCTGTGAAATTGAATTTCCACAGTTGGGGTGATATTGGAAATAATTTCATATCCTGTGCAATATTCTTGCTTGGTTTCACCTTGTGCTGTGTTTAAGACATCCCTTTTTTCTGAATGTCTTTTTCTTTATTCTTTTGCCGCGGCAACACTGTTAATTTAGACCATATTTACCCTAAAAGCAGTGCTGGCTTGCTGACTGCCTCTCGTTTGCCCACACACCATGGCCAAGCCGCCAACCACCATCTTTTACACCAACCGTCGCCATGGCAACGTGGCCACCACTCCTGGCACAGGAGCCCCTTTCAGAGCTGATGACATCGGCGTTTCAACAATGAAAGGTTCATATATCCTCTTATGGAGAAAAGCTGGTATCTTTTTTTCTTTCTGGGCATGCAGGCTCCTTGATCCCCTCATATACTCACTCATATACTGTAAAATCCTTAATCAAATACAATAAAATCTCTTTATTTTTTGCACCAGAACTGATACTAAGTAATATATAGGGAGCATGCAGCTGGAATGCCATCTGCATTACATTCAGCTCTTGAGGGTGCAGAGAGCATTTTTTTCTCTACTTTTGAGGCGCTTTTTAGATATTCATTGAGATGTGTTTTGAAATCAAAAACATTGGCCCATTCAGTGAGGTTTTTTTTAAACCAGTGGATGCAACAAGACCACTGAATGGTTTGTAGGCCTGTACCATGTGGGCTCCCACTCAAATAGAACAGCAATGTGGTATCCCAGGATGTGGGGACTGCATTGTTTATTCTTCCTGTGCTAAGGAGGATCAGAGCTGCTGGACTGGCCAGACCTCTTGCCTCTGTTCCCACTTTATACTCCCGCCAGCCCCCGGGCATCCTAACCCTCCAGAATCTTCTCTTTATATATCTCCCCCAACCCTCTCAGCTTTCCTATGGCTCCGACAATGAAAAACACCAAAAAAGCGCTGTGCACTCTGCTGCTAACCCAAGGCTAGCAGTGTGGTTCACTGGGTTGTGATGTGGCCAACAACAGCTGAAGTCCGTGACCCCCCTGGACCCCATCCATCAGGCTTTCATCACTAACCATGGCCTCTGACACACACAAAACTTCAGCCAAGGAATGGAAGCACGCAACAGGGAACTGTATGACACCGGGACCATATAAAATTATATGTAAGCACTTTGTCCAAACACTTGACATGCATACAGGACAAACATTTCTGCATGCAAGTTAACACACACCAGTGTGGTTGTGCATGTGAATATAAAGTTATAAATGTTTCCAGAGCAGTGACGCTGCCAAACTGTGGTCTTGTGTGTGTCCAAACTGACCTGTCTGTCATGCACAAACTGAGTGCTTATTCGAACGCATGCTTTTCATATGCTTCCCCTGCCGTCTCTCACATACACATGCCTGTTCTCCGCTCAGACACAAGCTGCCTTTGCTGACACACAGCACATCCGTATCGCTCTGCCCTCGCACACATGTTAGCAATATGTGTGTGGCAGAGGCTCAGCTGACCGCCTGGCAGTTACTGTGAAATTGGCGCCCTTCTCATCCAGATGCCAGGTGTTTTGCTTGGCAGTCAGGGGGGTGCTGGGGGCCGAGCTTGTGTCAGGAGTGTTGGGTTGCTGTGAACGGCAGGGAAAGGATGGGGTAATATGTCGTGTGTCCCTGTTAGCCCGGCCGCTTGGCACTGCCAGGCCCAAGAGGAATTAGAGACAGCTTAGTTCCCGTATGAGTTTGAAAATGCTGTGTGATTATTGTCCACATGTTATTTCCCAAACACTCCTTAAACATGAAGGTATGAGCCATCATCTTCAATTAAGCATATTTTACTTTAAGGATGTCAGACGCAATATTCCAGGCAAAATACACTAGACAAATTTTGATTAAACATCTTAACTTCTACTGTTTTGGTCATGAGCATGTTAGACAAACATTATGTGTCATTAGCGAGGAAAGTGACATCTTTAAAGAACAGTTTGACTTTTTGGGA